TTCCTAGTGGAAAATAGGGATTTAGAAGCATGTAGCCGTTTCACTCTTTTCTCTCCAGTCTTTTCAACCTAACTCCACTACTGCACATAACATTTCATTTCCTCCTAACACCATCTCCTCCATATCACACACACACACCCAAATTATCGTTTCCCCTTTGAGTTGCACTCGGAGGCCTGGAGCGTGATGTATCCGAGTGGTTTTTCCAGTGTATGCCCAACACATCTCCACTTTCTTCTGCATATTTAATGGGCGACAAGTTCTTCGTAGGTCCATTGTTAGCCAGCCAGAGTTCCTTGTTGCTTGTTCTTTCTGGCCATATCATCTGATCTTCAGTATCGAGTGAGTAAACGTTGGCCGCAGCTGGTGATGAATGTCTACAGGTTGGTGAAAATCCTTTTCGTAGCATAACAAGTCCCTCAACCATCACACAGAAGCACTGAATTGACTAACATTAGTGCTAAAAATCCCGATCTTCGTGCTTATGATGAGTGCAGGGCAGTACAGTGCAGTAGATCCCTTGCTAAATTCAGATTAAAGAAGGCCTGTCATGTCATCCTTCCGATCCTGAATTTAACATCCATATCCATGCCTGTGCAGCCTGAATCGAAACCATAATGCCTATGTAAGTGAAAGAGCCGAATTACTTTCGATTTCGCTGTCGATGGTCTTCTTCATTAATGTTGTTGGTTAGTTGACAATATTCATCATATCCGTCTTCTCTACGGTAACCTGAAGGAAATCCCTTATTCGCTACACTAATTCTTCTACCAACTCGTTGGTTTCCGCCTGTACATCTTCCAGTTTCTGTGACAAGACACTAGACATAAATCATCATCCTTGGTGAAATCCAAATCTTCTAGGCTCTTTATCTCTTCATCGGCTCAGCCAGTATATGCCCATCTTCTCACAGCTCCTCACAGTTGTCTCTTCCATGATCCGGTCCAGTCCATTCCAGTCGACTCCACTCGACTCGACCACAATCACGAAGATCGTGTGTGATAGTAGGCAGCCTTATCTTGTCTTACTCCTCTCTCCACTTCACTTCAAAGGCATCACTGAGTGTTGACCTTCACATTGTGAATCACTTCTCATGTAGCATCATCATATAACTAGCTGTTCAGCGAGGTTGATGAAGGTTTGTGGCACTAAAACTGTAGTGTTGAAGCAACTGCCTGCCAAATTACTTTTTGATCGACACTATTTAAGGCCATTTCAAAATCGATGAAGCTGCGGTTCACATGAGCTGACTGTCATTCTATGCTCTATTCTGTGATGATGTGCAGTTCAGCAATGCAGTTTCATCCTGACATGATTTATTCTTCTTCAATGCAGACAGCCAGTCAGACTGCCAGCCAGCCTGTTGCTGCAGCTGCTACCTTGGATTTCAGTAACTGTATGGCGTTCAAGACTTCACTTCGGCTTTTGGTGGAGGGCTAGTGTTCACTGATGATTCTGTGGGTGGCTGGTGGTGGTGGTGGTTTTTCTGGATATATGCAGATGATGGTGGTGATGGTGGTTGATTCAAGAGTTTTTCGAAGTGGTCACTCCATCCTTTCTTTCGTTTCTCCTCAATAGCCGTAACTAGGTTTCCTTGACTATCTGTCATTGGTTCCATCTGTGCTGTGTTGATCTCTTCCCTGTCAGTTGGTAACCTGGTTATCCGATATAATGTTGTCAGATCTCTCTCTGTCTCTCCTACCTGCAGTCTCTTCTACTTCACTTGCCAGTGTGTCGTAGAAGTGTCAATTGTCTTCCCGCACACTTCACTTCTTTGTCCAGTGTAGTGTTTTGTGGGTTGTATCAGTTCATCTTTTCGTTGTTCATCAGAGCACTGCACTTCACTGCACTGCACTGCATTGCTTTATCTTCTGCTTCACCATCACCATCTTCCTCTCCCTCTCTCTGTCAGCTTCCATGTGTCCGTCGAGATCCTTTCATTGTCTTCTTTCTTCTTCCCTCCTGACACGTTTATGCAGGTCCCCTTCTACGTCTCTTTCAAAGATTTCCAGTGTTCTTCCTTACAGGTTTCTTCTTGGATGTTGCTCAATATCTCCCATTTTGTTCTGATGACTGACTGATTGACTGACGTGAGGATGTCTTTTTTAGTTTCGTGCCTTAGTTTCTGTTCTATGTGTTAAGCTTGAGCTGTCGTCTATGACTAGCTTCTTTGAAGGATTTCAACTTGATTTTGAATCTGAGGTCCTTGCCCTAGATAATGAGTGGTGTGAACCTACATCTGCTCCCCATCTTGTTCTTGTATGCTGTAGGCGGATTCGTTCATTACGAGGTGGGAAATAACATGAGTAACATCGTTCATCATATTTTCAGTTATTTGTCTGGGAATCACATATATATTCAATATTTTTAGCTCAAAACTCCGATGTTCATAGCGGGTAGTTCATTTAGCGTGAGTTTCATTTGGTGCATTTTTTATTGTCATATTAGACACCATTGTAAGTGGATCAGAGTTGAATAGCTCACAGTACAACTCACTGAGACAATAACTCACGTCTACCTTACCAAAATATGCATAGAAATGATGAAATTTGTGTGACAATTATTAGATTTTTGTGAATTCACCTGTCCAAGTGTAATTATTTATATAACGTTTGCAATTTTAACACAATGTGTTCACTATGTAGCGTACTTTGTGGATTTGCTCGAAATCATTTTATTCAAATTTTTGACTGAAGTATATTGTACTGATTAAATATCAGTACAATAATGGCAGAAGAAAACCTCTTTAAAATATGAATACTTTCCTGATTAGACATTAAAGTTTCTAGTTGTTCCTTTTCTTGGAATTATCATGATTATTTCCGAAGCACTTAAATACTATTATAGAGCAAATATGATGAATATGTTTTAATTTAGATGAACGGACCTGAGCGATTCTGCCCTGTATAGCGACGGGAGATTTCAAATCTCATAGCAAAATCTGATGCCTGTTTCACAAGACGTGACTATTAAACCCTAGTGGCTTGGTGGATGACTCACTAGCGTTTGAAGCGAAGCATTACTGAGTTTGAATCTTAGTGGTAACGACGCCACTCCGCACCATCTTCCCCCCCTCTCTCTTCTGTCAGCTTCCATGTGTCCGTCGAGATCCTTTCATTGTCTTCTTTCTTCTTCCCTCCTGACACGTTTATGCAGGTCCCCTTCTACGTCTCTTTCAAAGATTTCCAGTGTTCTTCCTTACAGGTTTCTTCTTGGATGTTGCTCAATATCTCCCATTTTGTTCTGATGACTGACTGATTGACTGACGTGAGGATGTCTTTTTTAGTTTCGTGCCTTAGTTTCTGTTCTATGTGTTAAGCTTGAGCTGTCGTCTATGACTAGCTTCTTTGAAGGATTTCAACTTGATTTTGAATTTGAGGTCCTTGCCCTAGATAGTGAGTGATGTGAACCCACATCTACTCCTCTTCTTGATCTTGTGTCCAGTAGACTGCGTCTCCACATTCTTCAGATTGTGATGAAGCCAATCTAATTTTTAGTGTTGGGTGTCCATCTGGTCAAATCTAATCCATATAGCTTTATGAATGTCCTTGTGCTTGTACACACTGCCTTCAATCACCACATCATTAAATTTGCAGAAGTCTGCAAACAGTTCGCCGTTCTGATGCACCTTTTCACGCTGCGCTTCTCGACCCATGAAGATTTCCCTTCCTGTGTTTTTAGCTCTCAATTTGGCATTCACACCATCCCATCCGTTAGAACTTTGATGTCAGCAACTGGAGTATTGTCCATCACCAATTGCAGTTGTCTATAGAATTCCTCCTTCTTCTCTTCATCTGCATTATTTGTTGGCGCGTAGAAGTGAATGATTGTAACTTTCCTCCGTTTGATTTGAATCTTGCTGTCACGATCCTGGAGGAGATTTGTTCCCATTGCATGAGTGCCTTCGATGCGCTTGGGGACATCGTGATAGCCACTCCATAATTCAGTGTGCTCGTGGTTGTCGTCTGGGTGAGAACGTCAGAGTAGATTATTGATTCTTCAGTTGACAGTTTGGAGAGTCCACTTCCACTCGTTCTGCAGGTTCTTCGCAGATTCCAAGCACTTCCATGCTATATCTTCTCATCTTTTTGGCAATCTGTACAGCCTTACCAGCGAGCCAGCTTGTAACATTGTGCAGACATTCCATATCCCTATGTTTATTTTCGTCTTCATTGAGAGAAGAGAAGACACATCGGCCAATTGGCGTTTAGAAGGCTTTCAGCAATTAGCGTCATTTCGTCTCTCCGATTCCCACGAGGAATAAGTCTATCTATATTTCTTATATTTTCTTTGTGCTTTAAAGTTTCTTTAGCAGTTAGATTGGTTTTAAAGGGGTATGGTTGCTAACCCTATGCTTAACCTTTTCTCTTTATCCGGGCTTAGGACCGGCTAGTAATTAGTGAACTAGTTAGCTAGGCGAGGTTGAAACATTAGCTATACATGAACAAAAAGTGAAACATTCAAAAACGTTTTATGAAGCCACTTTCTCTACGTCGGCTTTAATAATTTGTTTTGTTTATTTTGTCAGTTTCACTTCACTCTGTCACACTTCTGCTTTATTATCATCATTATCACCAGTTCTCACTTCATTGACAACATTTAACCCATATTTTATTATTTAATAGCAGTTCGTTCCTTATTCATTGACCCATTTTCCAAGCTACGGTCAAACTATAATTTTTACACTTCTTTGACAGCATTTCTCCCTTGTTTCAACACTTGTTATCAATTTATCCTTAATTATTCAGTGATCCATTTTCTATTTCTTCCACTTGAACAAATCCATCACCAACAACTATTGTATAGTTTAAACATTGACTGAGCAACGTTTTAGTGGGATAATGTGTCATTTTACCCAGTATAAATACAACCGTACAGCTTGATAATGAAGTCGTTGAAAAAGAAATATTTCTTCTTAGCTGATAAATGTCTTGTTTATATTCATAAAGTTTGCTTAGTTAATACTTTAATTTCTCTTCTTTTTTTTCTTTTTTTCATAGAATGTCAAGTGTATAAAAACATGAAGTATGAAGGTATTACTTACGATATAGGTGATTTCCAAGTTTTAATCGACATTCAGAAGAAACGGGATTATATGAATTCATATAGAACATGTGATCATTTAGATCACACTTCACTATATTCCATCTACTTAAATTATCATAAACAATTGACAGAGGAGAAACGTTCCTACACACAATTGCAAGATGCTACTTGTCACACGGTTAGTAAAAGTAGTGACTGCTGTATTCCGATACATTTACATCAACTCTGGAATTCTAAATTGTTTCTCTTAACAACTGATATAAATTCACTTATTCAGATAATGTTGCATATTATCAAGTTATTTATAAATGATGAACATTCTTGGATGAAAATATTATCGATGATACAGGTTACGATTCAATCATCAGGTATGTAAGAATGCTTGGAACCTTTTTATATAAATCCCTTCCTTGTAGAGAATTTTCCAATGAATATTCATCTTTGAAAAGATAATAGATGGTCTGTGCTTAGAAAATGACTATGGTTTTAAAATACCTTCTTCCTAGGATTTAGCTGCGGTCAGCATGAATAAGCAAATGTCAGTTTACTGTCTTAATAATAAACAGTTGGTTGTATTGTTGACATATCCCCTGTCTTATGAAAATGTAATAACAATAGCTACATTCCAAACGGTATTCTCAACGTGTAATGTTCTAACAAATTCACTTCCAAGATAATATTTCCAAACAAAAAGATTATTGGATCTGAATGATGTTTGTAATAACAGCAATAATATCAATAATTTGAAGTAGCTGGTTGGTACCAGCTGGTAAACACTTTGGCCACACTCTGAAATTTTTTGGTGGGAATAGGCGAAATCCTTTTGGTTGCACTGTCAAAAAGGTATTATTATTCCCAAAAATGTCGAAAAGTGTACCGAAAAGTTACAAAAACTCCAAGGTGCACCAAAAATATTCAACTTTTCTCTAGTACACCTAAATTTTTCGAAATAATTCATATAGACTCCTAAAAAACATTATATATGACAAGTATGTACATCTGCAGATTATTAATTGTCCTTTGGCTTCCTAGTGGAAAATAGGCTTTCAGTAGCACGTTGCCATTTCACTCGCTTCTCTCCAGTCCTTTCAATCTGGCGCCACAACTGCTCACAACCTTTCATTTCATCCTCACACCATCTCCTCCATGTTACCCTCGCCTCGGACACCCAAGTGGTCGTTTCCCATGTGGGTTCCACTCGATGGCCTGCCTTGGTGCATGATGTCTTCGAATGATTTTCTCAGTGTATGCCCATTCCATTTCCACTTTCTCCTGCGTATTTGTTGGGCGACAGGTTCTTGGTTGTTTTGTTACCACCTAGACAGTCTTTTTTGTTGCTTATTCTTTCTGGCCACCTGACCTGATCTTCAGTATCGGACGAGCGTAGGAAAGCTTAGGACTGGCTTGTAAACTATTGAACTAGTACACTAGATGAGGTTACATCTGCAGATGGTCAGTTGCAGTATACAAAATATGTACCAGTGTAATGATATCCTGGAGACTTTGATTTCATGAGATATTACTACTTTCAAGAATGTACCCAAAAATCTCAAAATGTTTTTATAAATTTGAAAAAAGCGGCTTGTTCAAAACATATGCCCCATAGAAAATTTTGATTGTAGCTCAAAAATTCAGTAAGCTGCTTTTTGACAATACTAATTGGAATTTCAGGTTGATATTCGTCATGAACTGACATCATTTGGAGGAATATTGGAAAGCTGGGAGCACTGAACAACTGTTTCGTTCTGGTGCGAAACTCCTCAGCAATTCACACCCATGACTTCATCAGGGATCGAACTCAGGACCTTCAGGTTCCCTAGCCATTATGTTATAATTGAACTACTGCGTCGGAATCCAATGGTTGTGACCAGTGGAGCCATTCAAGTTGAATATGAGCACAGTTACTCAGCGACGGCATTGGATGGTAGCCCTGACAGAAGAATAAACGTGAACCATTGTATTCTGACACAGTGACTCAATGTTAACGTGCTAGGCGTGGAACTTGAAGAACGGGGTTCAACTCAAGGTGGGTTGCAGTCTTGAGTGCATAGTAGTGAGAAGTACATACTAGGACGAAACAGCTATCCAGCCTTCCAAGATTTCAAGTGGTTCTCTAATCGACGTCAGTCCATGATCAATGTCGATCTGAAATCAGTAAGTCTCCACAAATTTAATTAGTACTTGTTGAATAACATTTCGAAAAATACTTTCAGGTAATACAACACACAATTTTGGATGTGTTGTTTGTAACACCTAAATTCAAGGTCAGATTAGCTTAGTGTTAACAGAAGATAAATCATACAAGACTGAAGATGACTTTTGTGTTAGCAAGTTGTTGAATGTCGGTCAAATTTTAGTCACCTAATTAGATTAGTCTTCAAAGATGTATAGTATTACTGAACATGCTGATAATTCAAGAATGTGCTGAAATCCTGAGATAATAATTTACTTCACCAGTAATTGTTCACTGTAGTCAATTACTTCTGTTCCTACTATTTATTGAAATCCTGAAATGAAGTCATCTTGTACAAAATATTTCCAATAAATATTTTTTTATTTTCTGTTTAATTATTGGTAAAAATTCTTATATGTTTGTAATATTTACTCAGTAAATAACTAAATACGAAAAATATAGGGAGAAAATTAGATTAGTATTTCTATGCACATTGATCAAAGGATAATATCTTCTCTCCTATTTTAACACTCTACTTTATGGACAAAAATAATTTCACGATAACTAGGATGATAATTTTGTTCTGAATTGGTTGAATACAGCACTTAAGCTAGTTGAGTCAAAATGACAGAAAAATGAACTGAACAAGGGAGAAAATTAGGGATAAAATAAATAAATGGGAATGGCTAAGGTCTTAGCTCCATGTTGATTTTTTTCTAATTAAAATGGGAATCAGATCATTATTTAATACTTATCAGTTACTTCGTTCGAGATGAGATTAGCCTCAGTTCTGATGTCAAATCTTGACTGATGGGACCAACTAAGTCGGATATGAGGACAGATTCTCAACGACGGCGTTAGATGATAGACCATGGGATTCCGATGCAGTAGCTCCATTACAGGGTGCTGAACATGGAACCTGGAGGTTGTGGACTCGATCTCCGACGAGGTAGGGTCATGAGTGCTCACTGTTGATGAGTTCTACACCAGGCAGTTAGCCGATGATGAATACCCAACAAATTTCTAAAATATGAGTAGTTTTTCCAACCAAACATTTCAATTTATGTTACTGTTTCTGATGTAAGTTGGTGGTATCCTTAAGTATTTATGAGACAGAGAATAGATTGACAGTATTTAATTTGATTATGAAAAATACTGACTTCGATTGTTTCCCAACTTAGATACTTGAAGAGAGATAGCTGTTGGTGAGCAAAACTCCTTGATATTAGACTGAACTCAATTCCGATTTTCAACATCAAAAATGTGACATAAAGGCAGCTATTCTGAGATTTGCATTTCAACTATTTATTTTAGTATTGGTTGTGATAACAATAATAATACTAACTTTGATTCAAAACAAATTCTCAACATGAAATATTTCAACAGATTAACTTTCATAATAATATTTCCAAACGAAATGATCATTGCATCTGAATGATGTTAATAATAATAATAATAATAATAATAATAATATAATCAATAATATCAATCAGTTCAATGGCTTTTGATAAGCATCTGATCTAGAATGGATAATGATAAGAAAGCAGACGTAAGTTTGGTGGGGATAGTTCATTTAGCCAGCTACTCGAGTCAACTATCTGAGGTATATTAGTTAGATGTATTTTTCAGTATTTAAATGTCCATTTCATTCTGCCACGACATTTTCTCTAAAAATGGTTAGTTTAAAATATTTTATAAACACACAAAAGTGTATGATACATTAAAAGAATATACTCAAAAGAATAAAACAGGTTGGAAGGGAAGAATATAAAGCAATTTGTTTGGTAACCTAAAGTTCAAGTAACCCACCAAATTAGAATTATAACTCGTAATTTGTTTCTGGAAACTGAGAGCTTACTTAAAAAAAATCCCATGAAATATATTTCCTCTTTTATGGATAAAATAAGTAGGATTTTGTTTACCGACGATTTATAACTCTCCTGTTGAATGCAGTAATATCAACGATTAGTTTCGTACAGAATAGTATCTAAGTAATTTACTGTGCCCACTAATGGTTCATAGGAAAGTAATAAACATATCTGCTAAACCTTATCGATCAGGTCTCCAATATCTCTAGTAAGATCAATGATGAGACACTGTGGTGTACTGTATTACTACTTAAGATAGTAGCAATTGGTCCACAGCACTTCCTGTCGATTGTACACGAAAAAAATTTTGACGCTTATAAGAATTTATTTATAACCTTAGTTTATTTAAATTCCAAGCAGAAACTGATACGATAAATCAGTAAACTTACACATCTCATCAGTTGTCTGCTCTTCTTTTAATTACACAGTGTATTTCATGTCGTATTTAATGAGATTTTTCACGCAAAGACATTTCATTCAGCGTATGTTCAGCACTTCATCGTGTAAATAAAGCATTCTTTAACTGTTCTCAGTATTTGCATAAGTCATGGTAGTAGTGGTCAAAAATCATGCGTCTTCTAAGGAAGTCCTTAATTTATTATTATTACTATTATTTTACCCTTGGGTTCCTAGTGGAAAATAAGGCATAAGAAGCACATAGCCAGTTCACTCCCTTGTCTCCAGTCCTTACAACCTAGCTCCAAAACTGACCATAATATATCGTTTCTTCCTCACATGGTCTCCTCCATGACACACACGCACGCTCAAATCCTCCTATCCTATTTGGGTTCCGCTCGACTGCCTGGCCTGACAAATGTACACAAATCGTGTTCTCAATGAATGCACAATCCAGTTCATCATCAAATTCTTACTCGGCTTTCCGTCAAGCACCAAGTCTATCAACCATCACATACAAGCTCTGACCTGACTTATATTAGTGTTGAAAATCCAGATCTCGTTCACGCATTATGTTGAGCACAATACAGTGCAACAGATTTCAACAATGATTTCAGATAGATGAAGGCCTGTCTTGCTGTCTTTGTGGTTTGGCCAGATTCGAAATCCCCATCTGTGCCTGCGCGGACGCCTGTAGCAGAAACCATAATGAATATGTATGTGATGGTGATTATTGCTTGCTACTGTTGCTGTTCTTCTTGTTGGTTGAGTATCATCATCACATCCGTCTTCTCTACGGTAACCTGAAGGAAATCCCTTATTCGCTACACTAATTCTTCTACCAACTCGTTGGTTTCCGCCTGTACATCTTCCAGTTTCTGTGACAAGACACTAGACATAAATCATCATCCTTGGTGAAATCCAAATCTTC